CATCAGCTGGAGGTGATCGATGTGGTGAAGTCGGTGGCGTTGTCTTGGGAGAAGGGGAGAAATCCGGTTGTGAGGGTGGTGGTGGTGAAGCTGCTGGTGAGGTGGGTGTTGGTGAGGGGGAAGGTACTTGTCGTGATGGATCTGCTTGTGGTGGTTTGGAGGAAAGTTGTTGGTCCTGTAAATGTTGCATGTCTTTGAGTTCTTGCCATCGGGCTTGGCACTGCTCGACGGAGAAACCAACTCGGCGAGCAACAGAAACCCAGTTGGGACGGAGTCGAGGGTTGCCTTTGAGTTCAACCAGGCGACAATCAGCGTCGCCATCCCATGCGTCCCAGTCTGCCTGCTGGTTCAGTGGTGGTGGTGGTGGCTGCTTTCGCTTGCGTGTTGTAGCAGGTTGTGGGGTTGGGGCTGTTGACGGTGTGTCGTCGGAGTCTTTTGAGGGCGGCGCTGGTAAGCGAATGGGTGGTCGAGATGGTGCTGAGTCACAGGAGGAGGTGGTGGACGGTAAACGTATAGGGTGAGTTGGTGGAATTGGTAGTGGCTGAAAATGTTGGCGGAAAGTGGGATCCGCTTGGTGGATGTGGTGAAGAAAGTGGGTGTGAAGGTGTGCTACAATATCTGTCGCTTGTCTGAGCAGGTTTTGGACCTGCGAAAGTGCCACAGTGGTCTGATGTAAAAGAGTTTGGGTGTCATTGTGTGGAGGTGTCACTGTGCTGCTCATGACTTAAAGGTAGAGGGATGTACAGTCACACAGGGTAGTCACAGGTTGCTGCGGCAGCGCGGCAAGGCAGCTGGACGGCAGCTGGTCAGCGTGAGCACGTCATCACGGGGCCATGCATATGAATTAAGCGAGCATCAAATTCCCGCGGGCATAGTCCGATTGAAAGATCAAAGGCAAAGAACTCCAACATGTGAAGAAGACATCATCTGAAAAGCTGGTAAAAATTCGGAATGATATTCTGCAGAATGAAACCGTCAAAGCTTGAAAAGTTGAAGGCGCAAAAAGTCGCGTGACCGCTGCAAAAGTCTTTTCGCTGCTATAGGCTAAGGTTTATGTGGTGGTGTGAGACAAAAGGTGGAGGTGGAGGTGGTAGTGGTGTGGAGGTGTTGGAAAGTGGTGTTACATGTCGGGTGGAGTGGAGTTGGTGGACCAGGCCAGTCCTTTGACTATGGCCTGGTCCGGGTGAATCACCCAGCAGCGGCCCTTCTGGTGGAAAACGGCGGTGTGGTGCTCGTTGAGGAGGGTCATGGCGTGTTCCTCGCCCCCGGAGGTGTATTTTGTGGCTGCACCCCAGGCAAGGAGTGTGATGATGATGGCCAGGTGTTGTGGATGATGCGAGCGAATTCGCTTTGGTCGTGGGGTTGAGTGTGGGTGACGCGGACGCCCTGGGCAAAAAAGCCAGGGTAGTTGGCAAAGTGGCGTGTGCTCGGTAGAAACCGACCTTGGCGTAGAATGTTGGCAATGTTGCCGACCGGGCCTGTATGGCCAGCATTGATGTGGGCGACTTCCCGGTGGGTTGAGGTGGCTCGGGAAACCGCGGGTGGTTCAGGTGTGGTGGCCTTTGTGTTGAGGAAGGGAAGTGAGATGGCGTTGTATTGGAATTGGTCGTATTGGCGAGTGGTGTCTTTCCACTTGGCGTGGGTATATTGTCGGAAATCGGTGATCTCTTTGTAGGTGATGTTGCAGTCGGTGAGGAGATTGGCGATGTACTGGTGCTGTGGTCGGTTGGGGGTGTCGAGTTGGTTGGCGTGGAATTCGAACCATTCGAGAAGTTGGTCTGTAGGTGAAAGAGCTTGAAAGTTGGGCGGAGGTCGCCAGCGGTTGAGTGGGCGACGAAGGACTGCTGTGGTGGGGTATTGAGAGGGGTCGGTGTTGATGTTGTCGGTGTTGGGGCGCAAATCGATGGGTTGTGGGGAGCGGCTGCGGGAGGGTGTGGGGCTGTAAGAGTAAGTGGATGTTGAGGGCGAGCGGCGTCGCCGGGTTGTGCTGTGGTGCTTTGAGTGGCGGTGATGTCGATGCCGGCGGCGGTGGTGGTGGCGCCCTCGGTGGTGATGATCAGACTTGCGTCGGCTCTTGTGGCGGTGGCGGCGACTGCTGTGTTGTGGCTGTGGGGAAGGTGGCGGCGGTGCCGGTGAAGCGGTGCTGTCGGGCTTGTCTGTTGCAGGTATTGAAGGTGCAGGGGCTGGTGGAGCTGATGCAATGGATGGTGATTTGGATGGTTGGGAGCCAGTGGCTGAAATGGTCTCGTTTTGGACCGGTGCTGAAGGGTCCTTGGCTGATGTGGTGACATGTTGGACCGGTGGTGTGTGGTCCGATGGTGCCGGTTGCGGGAGTGAGGGTTGAGCTGGTGGTGGAGCACCGATTGCTTGTGGAGGCGGCGGCGGAGGCAAAGGTTGAGGTGGAGGTTGTGTGACTGGGGGAAAAGCGGAGTAAGGTTGCCAAACTCCCTGGGGGATGGTGCATTGCGGGTCTGTGGATGGATGATGGGCAACTGTTGCTTGTTGTGGTGCTGGAAGTGGATGGATCTGCGTGGTGGGGGTAGGTTCTGCAGGTGGTGTGGGATGTAGTTGTGGCAACATGTACGAAGGGGAAGGTGCTGCGGATGGAAACACTGGGGTTGGGTGTGTGGGTTGCGGTGGCGGCTGGGATGGTTGCACAATCGTCCAGGTGGAAGGAGTGCCGTAGGACAGTGCAGTAGGGGCTGGAATGGGCATAGTAGGTGGAGCTTGATAGGGTTGTGGTTGTGGATGAGGAAATGCCGATGGTTGTGGTGAGGGAAAGGTGGGTGCAGTTGGCGGCTGCGGCAGCGGCCATGTGGGCTGAGGTTGTGTAGTAGGTAGTGGTGGTGGTGTGGCGTGAGCATATGGCCAGGGAAAGTGCATGACGTACTCGGACTCGTCGGTGGTGAAAAACAGCGCTGTGTAGTAAAGGCTTCGCTATGGCACGGCGCGGCGCAGCAGCAAGGATGCAGCTGAAAAATGCAAAGTTGTATTGCCATAGTGATGTTGAAAATCTCATCGCTCGTGTTGACGGGGAGTGTGTTGTGAGGCTGAGCTGGGTGTGAGCTTGTTGTCAAGTGTGGTCATGCATCTCGAATTAGAGTGGAGAACTCCAGTGTACAAGCTTGAGTTCTGCTGATGAAAAGGTCACGGCATCGATCTAAAAATGCAACATGTGGAAAACAAAATGCATGACTGATCCGAAAGCTGGTGGGAGAGAAAGCTGCCGTGTTTAGGCCCGGCGGCCAATGCATCTGTTGATTCAAAGGGGGCGTCGATGACTTCCAGTGGAAATCCGGTGAGAGGTGGCATGTTGGGTTGGTTGCTTTCCGATGTAAAAAACCGCGCCCCTGTGACGGGGATCACACTCAGCACCCGAGTGGGACGGCTGAGCGAAACACACTCTGACATTGGTATTCAGTTACACTCAAATTCCCAGGTCAATTGGCGATGGAACGGCAAGGTGGCAGAGTCCGTGAAAAGGTATTGTTTTAACAATGTTTGCAAGTGCACTCGAAGAAACGGACACTCAGCGCTGCTGCAAGTCAGCTGCATGTCGGCGGTGGGAAAATGGGTTTGGGGGTAGGTAGCATGAAGAACCATGGAATCAAACAAAGCAAATTAGACAGCGTGGTCAAAAGTTCAGGTAGCAGGTACACGGAAGTGATCAGCTTCCGCTTCCTAGGATCTTGCAAAGAGCTTCGTTGGGCAGAGCTTTGCAAGTCCTCTCTGCCCCCCTGCCTGTAGAAGGTGGTCGAAAAAGGTGGTTGAAAAACAGTGGAAGGAGTAGCGGTGGAAAACCCTTTGTCCAGGGGTGGACACACACACACACACACGCACACGCACACGCACACGTACACGCACACTCTTGCGTACTGAACTGAATGCCTCACGCCACACGGCTGCCTAGGTGAAAAAAATTCTTAACCTAATAAAACATGTAAGGCGGGTGTCTGATCACTGGGAAAGGTCAAGGCTTAGGCCAGTGCTCTTGGGTTTGAGGCCAGCGCATCTAGGTGGGAGGTCATCGCAACGGGTTGGGGGCCATCACCAGTAGGTTGGTTTCGTGCGAGACAAGACTCACAGCAGGGTTGGAGGCCAGTCAAAACACGAAACGCGAGTTACGTTTAGTAGCAGAACCACATGAACCACCATGAAAGCAAACCACAGCGAGAACAACAGGAAACCAGTTTGGCGGGTACGCTTACACGGGTCCCAGAGGAGGTCTTCGTTGGCCACCGCTGACCCTGGTGGCCACCCGCCATTTAACAGACCTGTGGCTCCTAGGGTTCCACACACACGTCCTTACCCCTTACGCATCACGCCATCCAAATCCGTCTCGCCTCATCTGCTATCACTCCCTTACCATCCGCTTTAATGTTCCCGTTCTTGACGCAAACGCAAAGGAAAGTTTGACATGTGGGGATATCTGGCTCTTTAAATGTCAATCACGACTGATGATGCTTACACTTGCCAACTATGAGTCCCTCAAAGCTGAAACTCTTCACACAAGCTCAGCACAAGCCGCAGTCACCAGAATGGCATTCCCTTTCACAGAAATGCTCCTGGACACTATAGCTTGGTGGTATTCAACTTCCCTAGGCATCATTGTCAGTGGCAAGCGAAACGGCCATCTTTAAACGGCCATCTTTATCCTTTGCATGTTTGATCATGTTTGGATAATGAAGCATTTCGGCTGTTCTGTACTGCAAGCCCGCAGTTGCAAAACAGGCTCGCCAAATGTATGGCATCTATGAAATTCAAGGCAGAAAGGTGTCGTTCTGTCAACACCTGCTACCAGCAAAAGGGGAGTTCCCTGCAGACAGGAGTCAAGGGACTCAAGCAACTGCAAGCTAGGAGGAAAACTGGCCGGGGCTCTGAACCCCATTAAATATGATGCGTTTGACTGTTTGCAGCATCATCACACCAAAACTATTAACACGATCAATCTCAGACATTCAGGGACGTAGGCCATGAACAAGAAGTATGACCTGGTGATATCATGCTAAGCCATCTGGGAAGAGATCTTCGATGCCTTAGAGACATTGTGCTGAAGAATTGATATGGTAGGCATGTCAAAGGTAGCCATCAAAAAGGGCTGGTGACAAATGCAAGAGTCATGAAAATGATTGAAGCAAGCGTTCAATTGTTCTAAGGTACTATCATCACTTGCCACCTCCTTCTCAGCTTCTGCTGTTTCCGCTGGGTCCTCCTGAAACAAAAACAAAGCATTTGCAGGATGCAAAACAGGAAGGGTGCAAGAGCTGTAGACACTCACAGCCAAACACACCCATGTCGTCCGGCTCTAGTCGTTGGTCGGTCGGAGAGATGTAGGGATGGCTTGGGTCATACTTCTGCCCGTCAGAGTACCTGGGATCAGGAGAAACACCATGAACGCGATGGCCTCCAACCTACTAGCGATGGCCTTCACCCCAGTAGCGATGGCCTGCAACCTACTAGCGATGGCCTCCAACCTACTAGCGATGGCCTTCACCCTACTAGCGATGGCTTCCACCCTGGTAGCCAAAATTTCAGTAGTAGCACCTACTAGCGATGGTCTCCAGTCATACCTGGGATCAGGAGCCGACTCTACACATGAAGCATGGAGCAGACTCTACATGCAGACTTCGGCAGCTGACCGGAGCCGAGATGCGTAATGTTCCCTGGCTCACACCATGCCCCTTTGCAGCTAGAGCCTTGGAAATCAATGTAGCCATCAACAAGGCGAGCCACCAACACAGCTGGAGCTAAGGCGGATGCACTGCTTCTCATCCAATGCGCAATAGTCATCTGTGGCCAAGGAAACTCAGAAGACTGAACTACACTTCACTCACTGGCATGCGTTCAATCGAATTGCACCTTGCTTCGCAATTCCAGTGTAGGGGTATGCGGACCCACACGGATTCTTCTTATCAGCAAACGACTTCACACACCTCTCCAGCACGCTGGCCAAAACAAAACACGAAACGCGGTCTCTCAAGCAAGTGAACTGCGGTCGAAAAGTGTTATCAAAGCCATTGTGATTGGTTGACAGAGTGACTCTGTATTGTCTCGCTCCCTGCTAAACCAGGGAGTACGACCCGCCTATTAAAGACTAACTGGCTCAAGTGATCTCAAGTGTATTTCCGCTTGAATCGTGAATTGTGCCCAGCATGTCAAGCGCTGTGAAATGATCTGAGCAATATGCAAGTTATTCCCCATCTGAAAACACGCAAGTCTGTTTGCTGAGATCGTTTTACCTTCAGGTGAGCTCAATCTATGTCGACAAATGATAGAAAACAGGGAAAGGCCAACAAGTCTGAGAAGAAATATGACTCAAACCACACACTTTCATTTGACCACTTTGTTCGAGACTTTAAGAACCGAAAAAAGTTGTCAAATCGCTACAGCTCATTCAAGCCCATGTCGAGTGCACTGCTGCACCTGGGCCCTGGACACCAGGTGCCGCCGCAGCCAGCGCACCGGCTCTTCACTGAGCAAGTGGAGTCCTTGGCGAAAGAGAACGAAAAAAGGGAAAGCTACGGACCGGTACCGATATGATATATATAATATAGAGAGAGAGAGAAGCTATAGAACCACCCTTTCAAGAGGGAGCATAAACCTCTACCTTCCTTCCTTCTTTAATCTTTCTTCCTTCTTGACAATAAGTGGTTCGTCTGAGTGGAGTCCTTGGCCACATCTGCACATGCGCCGCACCTTAGAATTAACAAGAGCGGCTTGCATGAAGCTTATGTTTGCCTGTGCATGTATACTGCTTGCAAATAATTTCATGCATACTGTATATTAATGAAGACTCACTAGGCTTCTTGGACTTGATAGGACTGAATCAAAGCAGTTCACATACTTCCCCTGGGAAAAGGCCTTGAGTAATCTGGGAATGCCAAGGGCCAAGGCACATGTCTTTGGCACTTCCCAATTTGCCACGATAGCAGCAAATGCCCAATGTTTCATCTTCAGGTGGAACATACTCTGGCACTTCCCGACCATGGTTGCCCTGGATGTTCACATTGGGTACACACTCAGTGTTGCAACCCACAAGTCCAAGTTCTCTCGTTTCAGGAAGTATACAATTGGTGAAAAGCAGGGAGCAAGTATCAAGTATCAAACTGATACAATACAAAACCGTTCCTTTTTGTCAACTGCTGTATCTGTCCATCCAAGTCCATCTAATGCGCTTGACCACGTAAAAACAGGCTTGGAGGCAAGTCTGAAAGTTCCGCGTCCTCAACAATGGTAAAATGCGAGTTGTAGCCTGCACGGCACCATTCCTCGGAGTCAAGCTGGACAAGTCCAAACCAATTTGAATCAGAAGCCTCTCGGCAAAAACCTTCAACCGGGTTGCGCCATTGCAGCTCTTGCATGCATCCTTGCCGGAGCAAAAGGGATCGCCTAAATTTGAGGTCAAAGTGAGTGACACGAATACAATTTGACACTGACGTGAGTGATTGTGAGATCTTGTGAGACATCCAAACATGGATCCCCCCTGGTGACGCTCTGTGGAGCCTTGAGCTCCTTGAGCCCGCCGCTGGAGATCCCGGTAGGATACGCAGTCCCACACTTGTTGAAAGGATCTGCGGCACCAATAACCTGAAAGAGGGAGATGTGTTGTCCGCACGTTGCTGAGAACAGGAAGCACATCGGCACATGTCTCAGGATTCAGCGCATTTTGAGGGACACCAAGTCCCACCGCAATGTCCACCTGATGAAAATTGGTAAGTCGTAAGATGTCAAACAAATCTATGAAAGAGGACAAGACAGCAGTGGTTGACAAGGCACACTCGTTCTTCTTCGAGCACTTGCTTTTGTATGAGGCAATTGACATGGGATAGCAAGTTCCACAGGTGTCCTTGGTGCTCTCCCCACTGAAGCAGCAGGTACCACCCTCTTCATGTTCCCTCTTCTCCTACAACTTTGTCTCATTGACCTTGCTAATTGAGGGCTTTGGATGCTCCGACTCCGCATCTGCAACATCTTCGGCCTCCGAAACGATCTCTGCATCTGCAGTGGCATGATCAGCCGGTGCTTCGGGTAAAGTTGCCTCTGATTCGGACTTGCCTGGTGTCTCTTTCAGCGCAGGCCCAACTATCTCTCCCTCTTGAGCACTGTTTTTTCCCTCTTCAACTGTTGCGCCCTCGTCAGCAGTGTTGTCACTTTCCCCTGGCACGCCGCGGAGTTGACGCAAAGATAAGGTGCAGTCTTTTCCACAGGCATCGTCAAAATCCAAGGCATCCAAATCCTTGCAGTTTCATCCTACCAATTGTTTGCAAAAAACAGCTCGCAGCTATGAACATAATGTGAGGCTGAATGTCTCGGGGTTTCCTTTGCACAAAATTCATGGAATACCGTTAGTCAGGCTGAGCAGCGGATGCAAATCCAATGCAAGTGCTAAGAAGAGCAGAAAGAACAAAAACAAATCGGGACATGGCTGCAAAAAGTGCCTGTGATTGAGGCCGCAATGGCTTGAGCAGTCAGGTACAGCAACAAAATGTTGGTAAAATTGAGTTGTCAAGGAATATTCAGCTCAAAATACATAGGATAAAATTTCAAGTCCTGGCAATCCAAGAGTTTGCCACAAGGCTTGTGACAGGAGAACTCTGAATGTCCACAACGTCGCCATTCCTGGCTGAATCACTTTGCTTTGGCAAGCCTTACCCAAAAAGCTTACCAAAACTTGAAGCAGGGGTTGGTGATGAAATCTATTGAAACTATTGAGATCTAGCAAGGCAAGGTGAGGAAAAAAAAACGGAGCAAGCAGGGAAGGAAAAAATCAAATTCGGGGGAATCAGGAGCCCCTGGCAGTGATGTATTAACGTGGTAGGCGCTATCAGCCAAAAACAAGAGCAACTCCAGTTTGCTGACGCTAGCTTGCGTGACTTCTTCCAGCCTGTGCTTTGCCGCAGTAGCAGCTTTCTTCTGAGGCTTCCGTACACGGTGGGCACGGCCCTGCATGGCACCTAGCGACTCACGTTAGCGCCCAGAAAGTCGTGCAAAGCAGGGACAGCAAGAAGCACAACACACTGCAACTCCAAACAAAAGGTAACCAAACGACAGGGAGGCCGGAAAACACAGCAAGAGATGAAAGAAAATGGTGACGATGAGGAGGATGAAAAAGTTACGCAAAACAAGCATGACAGAGGTCCTTAGACAGTGCTCCAATCACAGCAGCCGGACGTTCTTGTCGATCGCAGCCTTTGATAGAGGCGTTACACCATGCTGCAGACAACTGCTGCACTGAGAAGAGTAGGGCGCCAGGTGCAGCCACCTCGGAGAAGGCATAACATTGAAGAAACGAGGTAAACAAACGACATAGTCACGCTGTCACAGCAAGTTGCAGTCGGTCAGCGTGGCTTAGTTGATTGTTGGCCCGTGGGTGCATACCAACGCGCACAGTACAGCACAACCTTTTGCGCCGCTTTTGTTGGACTTGCCACAGTCATTGAAAGAACCGTGGAGCGCGCAAGAAATGTTTGATTGATTGAAAGTAGTCAGTCCGCACCGCCGCTCACAAGCGCAACCGTCTGAGTGCGCAGGCGATGTGGTACATGGAGTGACGGTCTGAGAGCTCGGGATGATGTAGGGTTGGGGCACCAGAGCAAGATGCTTGCCGGCACCACTAGCTCCACCTTCGGCGCCCGCTCCTTTGAGCTTCCGCCTCGCTCTTGGATCTCGCACAGTGCACAGAGCGGATTCTGTGCCTGCCAGCCATACTTTCGAGAGTGTGTGTGTGCATGGATGACCATACTTGCCCGTGCTTACGGAATTTTGGGATGCTTCACAAGTTTCTTCGAGAGCTGCAGATAGACCAAGCACGAACCTCGACTTCAGCCTTGGCACTGCAGCTTGAGAAGTCACGCGTGGTGGCCAGTACAGACCTGTCCCTGGATGAAGGGGGTCAACGCAACCTCTGATGATGATGATGATGATGATGATGGTTGGACAGTTGAAGTTGGCAGCCATTCTTTACGGAGAATCCTTCACAGGTGCTTTCCGGAAGAACAATAGTAATATAGTAATAAACAACTTCGCCAATGGGCCTTGCTTTGCAGGAATGCTGACCTCGCGTGTGTGCTGAGCAGTTCACGCACAGACAGAGTGCCAAAGTGGCCTGAGATTCGTACCACAGCTGAGTGCTTGCCCACAAGCTGCACCACAGGACCATTGCTTTGGGTCACCACACCTGCCGAGCCCAAAAACGGTTGTCCCTAAGCGGCAGGATGAGGCGAGAGCTCAAGCAAAATCGGATCAAGGGCATGATGATGCAAAACACACAATTTGACAAGCAAGAACAGGTTGCCTAGGAGGGAAGACAAAGCAATGGGGATCGGTTGCGATCCGAGAAATCAATGCTGCTCTAGTAGCCATGTTATATAAATGAATTGTTTGCTACCACAAGGGAACTCCGTTGCACTACCAAAGAAAATGCAGACATTCCACTGCCTTGTTGTTGCAGTCTGCTCACGGCCACAGTGACAGCTGCCAGGACCACCCACCTAGCCAAGACCGCAAAGGAGCTGTATCAAAATGTTGAGTGGCAGTCACACACGGGAGCCCAGTGAATAGGTTAATGATGGTTAATGTCCAGTGAACCAAAAAGGTTCCAAGGCATTGGCAGCTGTACACCTCGCACAGGGTCCTGGATGACAAAGCTCTGGACAGGGATGTGGACCTCGAAGCGTCACACCGAGTTGCACCGAGAAATCAAAGCGTCATCTGCATCACTCAGAAGGTCACATCCTCTGTCCTTTTCGCAGACCTCTCACAGGGTTGGTTTTACCGAAAGAAAATACACGAGTCTTTTGGCCAAACCATACTTTTCCTGCTTTCCCAAGGTCCAGACTACACAACCAGACCCAAGAATCAAACGCAGCTGCCAAAAAAAGGAATCAAGGATTGTCAAGATCCTTAGGACCTTCCTCTTTCTTTGTTGGACAGGCAAACTTCATGTAGCGCAAACTTTGAAGGACCTTACGGTGAAGGTTTGTTCCTGCTCGGTGCGGCCTCACCGCAGCTGTGGGCTAACCTTAGGAGAGTGAAACGATGCTTTTTTGCGTCTCATCGCAGAGTTATCTTTCGGCTTTCAAAGGTAAATCTCCTTTGAAGGATGTTCAATAAGAAATGAAAACATCAGCCAAACCTGTATTAATATCATCCAGTCCTGTGTCCTTGTGGTTCGAACACCTACCATAAATGCACTAGCATCCACCCCTTTGATGGCTCATGGGCAGCAATTCTAGCGTTGGCGGCATAGTCAAGATTCTGGATAGTATCAGTATCAAATCTTTAATTCCCGTGCACTCAAGGCTCTGGAACAAAAGTGCAAGAACACTCTATATATTTCCTGAAGCAGCATATTATTAAAGTCACACCAGAAAGCCTCTTTCTGAAAGTCCACTTTCCAACAAAGTGCGCGTCACTGTATTGTATGACCAAGCTGATCCAAGATACATCATGCCTTTTTATATTACATGAACGCTATAATGTGCCAAGCCATACCATAGCATGACCACCAATTTCCTGTCAGGGTACGGTGGCTAAGGTAGAGAGAATAGCTGAAAATACAAAACAGCTTTACGCTGTTGTTGCAGGCATTGTTGAATTACCAACAGAAACCACTCCAGGATGACACTCACGTTCAACCCAAGTCATTTGCAGCAAAGGGCCAGTGTGGATTCAGCTCTGGCTCAGGCACCTTCTTGCAGTAGCAGGTGTACCTTCAGGGGAGAGCTTGGGTCAAAGTTCAAACCTTTGGAACCTGGTGACAATTGTAGATTTCGGCTTCTTGTTCAATCCCTTCAAAAATGGGTTCTAATAGATTTCCAAAATGCTTCAAGTCGATTCCCCTAAAAAGCTTTGTGAAGCACTCGGGCATCCGCTCAACGCGATGGTAGCGGCAACCTTCTCAGTCACTCAACGCGCATGGCCAAAAGAGAGAAGACTGAGCTTGTGGCCTGGGCATGCCCAGTCAAACTCGAGGCCACCAGCACTGTTGCAACGCTGGATCCAGCTCTTGATGCACTTCAAATGAAACCTTTGCTTTACGCGAGAACAAAAGCGGTCTTCGGTCTTCTAAGGATTTTGCACAAGCCAAGCAAAGCCTACTATTTTCTTGAAATAGCAATATGCCGTCTAGGTTGGAGGCCATTGCTAGTAGGTTGGAGGCCATCGCTATTAGGTTTTGATGAAATAGCAAATATGCCATCTACTGTGGCTGATTGGAAATGTGCTTGACCAACACCTTAGGTCAGTACACCGCCCAACACTGATCGCAACTCCAAATATGATGGCTCGGCTTCACCTGTGGCTTGGTGCAAAAACATATAACTCTGCTTGGACAGTGACTTGCTGGGCGTTTTTGGAATCCAAAATACAAAGCAACTAAATGTTAAGCTGCATTCCAGCCTTGTTGAGGCAAATCATACAGTCGTAGGATCCTGCCAGCGATGTGGAATGTCCAATCAGGCTATGACTTTGAGGAATGTAAGCAATACGAAATACCTTCAATCACAGACGGCAACAAGTACAGAATCATCGATAAAGACAAATAGTGGGCCCACTCCTTTGGACAGTTGATCTGCTAGCCTTTCTGTTACCTTGGTCGGAATCATGGTGGAAGCGAAGGGCCATTGCATGGGGCTCTGTCGAAGCGAAGAAGGCACATCCATCGGGACCAGCAATGTAGCTTCACAATCTAAGATGATCCAGATGATTTAGACCGCTCGCTGCTCACTACGTGTGTTTAAGTTATTCAAGCAAGTCACAGAATCGTACTGCGGAGTTTCCAAACGCACTAGCTCTGGCGCTTTTCGCTCCCTCCGCTCCTTCCGAGCCTTTCACATCAGCAACAACCAAGAAAACCGAAAACATGCCAATCCTAGGCCAATTCCAATTAAAGCAAATCAACTTGTGGAAAAGTGTTGCAAAAAGCAATATGAATATGCGCTGATATTGGGAATCAGGTAGGAGTTACCTAAAAATGTGGCAGAAAGGTGTCCCACATTGCCACACCATGTAAAGTTCTGTGCACACAAGCTCCAAACAAATAAGCAACATGCGCAACTTGTGGAACATGTTTGCAAAAGAAACAAAGTGAGCTGTCAGCATTTGTGGCACCTGTGAATCGTTGGCTTCGGCTTCTGGATTGTGAGCTTCCCGCCATTCAGCTTCCCGCCAATCTACCGAGCATAGACAACATGCTCTTCAATACGTGTGAAAGGAGATAACGCAGAAAGCTGCCTTTTTTGCCTTGGCTCTTGCCTTTCCCTTTTCCTGGCAAGCAAGTTAAATCAAGTTAAATTAACCACTCAAGAACAACCAAAGCAACCCAAGAGGTCTGCTTTTGCCACCTTGAGCTCTTCTTCTCTCGCCTGCAGGTTCAGCCAATCTCAGATGAAGTCGGCTTCTGCACGTGAAACAACTTGATCTC